CCCTGCTGCCTCTCACCTCGCGCCTTCCTGCGTGCCAGCTTGCCTCCTACCTGGTAATCCCTGCGGGGCTGCGATCTGCGAGCTTGTCGCCTCTTTCGAGGGCTGTTGGGGGTGCGGCGGGGTGCGGCACCACCCAGGCTCACATTAGACCTCGCCATCCCTGGGAGGCTGCGATCAGCAAAACTGTCGCCACTTTCGTGGGCTGCTGGGAGGGGATCCAACGGAGTGAGGCACCACCCAGGCTCATACTAGACCCCGCCATCCCTTGGGCGCTACGATCTGCGAAACGGTTGCCATCTTCGAAAGCTGGCGGGGGGGTGGCGGGGCGATGCGCCACCCAGCCTCGACTTCGACCTCGCCATACCTGGGGGGGTTGCGATATGCGAAACTGTCGCCACTTTCGAGGCTTGCTGGACGGTCCAGCGGCGCGGGGCACCACCCAGACTCATATTAGACCTCGCCAGATCCCTGGGGCTGCCATCTGCAAAACGGTTGCCACTTTCGAGGGCTGCTAGGGGGTCAGTGGAGTAAGGCGCCACCCAGATTCAGATCAGACCTCGCCATATCTGGGGGCTGCGACTTGCGAAATTGTCGACACTTTCGAAGCCTGCTTGGGGGGTTCAGCGGGATGACGTACTAGCCAACCTCATATTCGACATCGCCATCCCTCGGCGGCTGCGATCAGCGAAACTGCCGCCACTTTCGTGGGCTGCTGGGGGTCCAGCGGAGCGAAGCACCACTCAGACTCAGACTAAACCTCGCCATCCCTGGGGGGCTGCGATCTGCGAGGGAGCGTGATCCACCGCCGCTTTACTATGGAAAATTCCCCCCCCCCCCCCCTCCCCCCCCTCTTCCTCCTGAGCCCGGGGTTCCCCCCTCCCCTTCCGAAAATCCCCGCCGCAGCAGTCGCAGGAGTACTGACAGCATGAGCCATCGCATGTTCGGGCGACGCCCACACCATCCATTTGCGCTTGCCTCCGCGGCTCCCTCGTGCACTCTGGGGGAAAGGAGGAGAAGGAGGAGGAGGAGGGGGAGGGGGAGGAGGTGGAGGAGGAGGAGGAGGAGGAGGATGAGGAGGAGGGGTAGGAAGCAGTCGAAGGAAGCGCAGCGCTCTGCTGTGTGGGGCCACGGGCGCCACTGCGGCGCCCGCGGCGGACCTCCGCCCCTCGAGCCAGGCAGGCCACCCTTAGGAGGAGGAGGAGGAGGAGGAGGAGGAGGAGGAGGGAGGAGGAGGAGGAGGAGAGAGGAGGAGGAGGAGGAGGAGGAGGAGGAGGAGGAGGGAGGAGGGAGGGGGAAGGAGGAGGAGGAGGAGGAGGAGGAGGAAGGAGGAGGAGGAGGAGAGGAGGAGGAGGAGGAGGCCACAGGGGGCTGCCCCCCCCCCCCCCCCCACACGGCGGCGTGCCGCTGGCCGCCCGCCTCCGCCCCCCCGGGGCTCCCGCGCGTGCTCCACGTTCTCGGGCAGCTTCTCGTCGTACCCGCCGGCGAGCACCAGGCGGGTGGTGGCGCGCACGCCCTCCGCGGGCCGGCGCCGAGGCCTCCCCCGCCGCCTCCTCCTCCTCCCCCTCCTCGCTCCTCCTCGCTCCTCCTCCTCCTCCTCCTCCTCCTCCTCCTCCTCCTCGGTCCTCGGTCCTCGGTCCTCGGTCCTCCTCCTCGCTCCTGGGCTGCGTGCTCCTCTGCGGTCCTCGGCCCTCCGCGGGCCCCCGCCCGGAGAAGCTCGGGGCATCGCGGGGCGGCGTGCCTCCCCCTCGCCCTCTACAGTCGAGGCGTTGACCCAAGGAACCCTGCATAAGGAACGAGGCCCCTTTTTTCCATAAGTTAAACTTCGATTTCCTATCGAAAACAAAAGGAACCCTACATAAGGAACGAGGCCCCTTTTTTCTCCATAAGTGAAGCTTCGACTTGCCGATCGAAGACATCAGGGAAACCTGAGGCAAGCTGTGAAACGCTTAAGGAACGCGGAGCCCCTCCCCAACGAGACGGGTTCCTTCTTCAGGGCCCCGACTGTACCCCCCAAGGCCTCCGACGGCGTGCTTCTGGCACTGCCCGGCGCCGCTCCTCGACTCCTGGCCTCCGGGGGGCCCGCCGTCGGGCCACGGGGGCCGTTCCAAGCAGGCCCCGGGCTCCAAGCTGCCCCCAGGGAAACGGTCGGGACCTCTGGAGTTATGTTGCTCCCATCGTACCTAAGTCAGGGGGACGTAAGACCTGGGTACCCGGGACTCGGAACTCCCCGACGAGGTCGTCAAAAAATGACGAGGGCGAGCCTGCATTTTGACGAGGCCTCCCGCTGCAGACATCCCACGAAGCTCCTACTCGTCAAAATCCGAGTCGCGGTCGTCAAAAAACGATGGCGAACCCGAGTCCTGGCAAACCCGGGTCTTACGCTCCCATCGTACCTAAGGACCGCGTCCCAGACGTAATCTCGAGCATCCCAAGCAGTGTCTGCCCGACACGCTGGCGAGGCGCCGAACGAATACCGCCTCCCAAGGCCTAACACGTGAAAACCGTCCCATGTCGATACGTCTGGGGTGTTCGAACTTCTTTCCGGTGGTCAAGACGAAAGTGGGTGGGAGCATCATAGCTGTGGAGTATCGGTCGAACCCCCTGACAGGATGACGAGCAGGAGGGGGAAGGGTAGAGGGGGAGAAGACGGTAATCAAGAGGAGGAAGATGAGGGAAGGAGGAGAGAGAGAGCAGGAGGAGAAAGAGGAGAAGAAGCAGATGAAGAAGGAAGAGGAGGAGGAGGAGAAGGAGGACAAGGAAGAGGACGCCTCCCACTGCGCCCCCCCCCACCCTGAGAGCTGTGAGGCTCGGGGCTCTTGGGCCTCCGCGGGGGCTTCTCGTCGCCACAGCTGCTGGCGTTGCGCAGAGGAGGGGGGGACGGCTTCTCAGCAGGAGGCCGCTTCTTCGATGGCGCAGGCCCTACCTCTGCAGACAGGGCCCGCGACGTCTGAGAAGCAGGGGCGCGTCTAAGAAGCCCTCCCCCCTTCCCTCTACCCCCCTGTGCGCGCCACGTAGGAGGAGGAGGGCGAGGAGGAGGAACAGGAGGAGGAGGAGGAGCAGGAGGGGAAGGAGGAGGGGGAGGAGAGGGAGGAGGGGGAGGAGGAGGAGGA